CCCATGTCTATATACAAACCTAATGGTAAGATTTTGACATGAATTTCGACTCAAAAATGTGTGGTCAGATTTAAATGCCGGATTATTTTAGAGGGAAATCCACGAACAAAAAGCCAATCCTCGTGAAAATCGGTTGAGATTTGGCAAAGTTATGGGGGAGGGAAGTTTTGACCCATGTCTATATAAGCCTAGCGGTAAGATTTTGAATTGAATTTCGAAAAAAAAATGTGTGGTCAGATTAAAATGCCATATTATTTTAGAGGGAAAACCTTGAACAAAAAACCAATCCTCGTGAAAATCGGAAGAGTTTTGGCCAAGTTATGGGGGTGGGAAATTTAGACCCATGTCTATATACGAAGCCTAGAGGTGCGATTTTGACTTGAATTTCGACCAAAAAATGTGTGGTCAGATTTAAATGCCAGATTATTTTAGAGGAAAAACCATGAACAAAAAGCCAATCCTCGTGAAAATCGGTTGAGATTTGGCAAAGTTATGGGGGAGGGAAATTTTGGCCCATGTCTATATACGAAGCCTAGGGCTGCGATTTTGACTTGAATTTCCGACCAAAAAATGTGTGGTCAGATTTAAATGCCAGATTATTTTAGAGGGAAAACCATGAACAAAAAGCAAATCCTCGTGAAAATCGGTTAAGTTTTGACCGAGTTATGGGGCTTGGAAATTTTGGCCCATATCTATATAAGCCTAGTAAGATCTTGACTTGAATTTCGACCAAAAAATATGTGGTCAGATTTAAATGCCAGATTATTTTAGAGGGAAAACTATGTTCAAAATGCTAAATCTCGTGAAAATCGGATAAGATTTCGCCGAGTTATGAGGGTGGGTAATTTTGACCTATGTCGATATAGGATATTTGAGGGTACTATTTTTACATGAATTTCGGCCAAGAATAGTGTTGCCAGATTTAGATGCCGAATTGGTGAAGAGGCCAACCCGTTATTAAATAGAAAAATCTATCTAAAATCGATTGAGTTTTGACCGAGTTATGGGCATGGGAAATAGGATACTAGCGGGTATACTCCGGCCTTGATCTCAAAGATCTTTGAAAATGAGTTTGAGCCCGATCGGACGGTAAACAAAAAACTTAAAACTTAAAGTTGGGTGCATTAGACATATGCATAAAGGAGAGTAAGCAGAGCAATTGCTCCAGCTGTGGTGATGGTGGTTGTATATGTATTGATGGTTTTGGTGGTGTGTAAGTCAGACAAGCATATATTACCTTCTCCAAGGTGCGCTCGTAGGTGCGAACGCTTTCAATCAGGGATATAGCGTAGGGATAAATCTGGTTGGCCTGGTGAGCCTTGTTGACAATGGTTAGTGGAACTCTAAGAAGAAGAAATAGACAATTTAATACCAAATAAAATATAATCTTCTAATTAAATACGCTCACCTGAAGCCCAGGTTCTTGATGTTGCGCACCTCCTTGGCCAGCGTAATGATTTCTGGCAGAAAGTTGACCCGCAAACGCAAAACATTGCCGCGTCCAACGCGCGAGCGTGTCGATTCAATGGTGAAAATGCGACCGGAGCTGCCAAAGTTGCGCTCCTGGACCTTGCGTGCCCACTCGTGGAACACATCCGAGATGGACAGCTTGGCGCGGAAGCTGTCGCCATCGGCCTTAAGTTTCTGGCCCTCGATATGCGTCTCCCAGCCCTTGCCCAACACATCCTCGACACGCTTTAGGTACATGGTCAGCTGGTTGTCTATTTGACGCGCCCAGATGATGGAGCCCGCCACTGGCGGCAGATCACGCACCGAGGACAAGCGGCAGCTCTTGCTCTGCGGATACTGCACCTTGAACTTTTCGTGCAGCGCCTCAATGTCGTCCTTGACACGCTGTATCAGCTGCGTCTGGTACTCGCGAATGGCGCCACGGATGTGCGGACGCACAAACAACGCATTGAAGCGCGAGAAGATGCGGAACATCTCGTTGGCGTTCTTTGCTGTGCCCAGCTGGTCGCGCAAGTGCGCCGTGATGCGCGTCTCCACGCGATCTACAAGGAACAGGAAATGTTTTTATTTAGTTTTTAATTACTTTTAGTTTCACGAACCGATCTTCTCCTCGTAGCGCTTGACAGCAGCCTCCCAGGCTTCGGAGCCCTCCTTGGTTATGTCCAAGCAGTCCACCTCCTTGACATTTTCATAGGCCAAGTTGACCTCTTCGATGGCATTGGCATCGGCGGCATCCAGACTGTACGGCTGCTTAGTTTCCACGGCGTTGCCATCGTCGTTGGCCGCCTGCTTGGTGGGTCGCAGCACACGCAGAATGACGGTGCGCAGCTGTTCGTGCTGTCGCCTGAACTTGCGCATGTGCTCCATGCGCGTCTGCAGCTTCTTGTGGGCTGGGGAAACGCGCCAGACCATTTTCAGATGCTCGTCGCGCTTCTTCTTCACAATGTCACGCAGCAGACCCTGCAGCTTGTCGTACTCATCGTCCCAGCAGCTGAAGATCTCGAAGCACTGGTTCATCACACGCTCGAATTCATCGAAGGGAATGTGCATTAGCCGGCGGGTGCCCAGCACCTTGAGCAGCTGTTGCGACAAGTCCCGCGAGATGGCCTCAATCAATTTGAGGCAGCGCTGGATTGGATACTTGGTATTCCGCACTTTGCGCAAATGTGAGAAAATCTGCTGCACTGCTGGGCGAATCTTCTCAAGCTCCGTTGCCGACAGCAGATCGTTAATGGGAAAGTCTTTCATCAACGGATTATAATCGGCCACTGTGGCCAGTGCCTGCTTGAGGCCCGTATCCGTGTCAAAGGAAACAGTTGCATGGAAGCGCTTGCCATGCTTGAGTATGTCCAGTGTAAGCGCCACCTCTGGCGACTCGCGTTTCTCCTGGATGCGGTACAACGCACGCTCCAGATTCAGCCAGAACGAGATTTCCTGCAAATTACACATTTATCAGCACTTGCAGAAACTAAATTGCTGAGTGTTTGTTTACCTGTAGCGCTGTGCCGGAGCCGGGATCACGATTCAGCTTGGTGACTTTCTTGATTTCGGTAATCCAGCGATTCACGCCGTTCTGCAGCTGATTGAGAAAAGACGAGTCCTCAACCCTGTCGCCAAAGTCCACCACCTTGGCCTTGTGGTTCTCATCGGCGCATTTGCGTATGACCTGGTTGACTATCGGATGGGCAGTCAGCGTAATCTCCGGTATGTCAATGTTCTGCTGCAAGTGCAGCAGGCCCATCTCCAGCTCTGCCAGCTTCTTCTCCACTGACGGCGCCATCTTGTCACCATCGCGATCAGCGCGTCCGGACTCCTTGACGTACGACTTGAAGTACGGTGCCAGCGATTTGCTGATGAACGCATGCAGCGTCTCGTAGGGTGAGCCGTCGGAGAAATTAATCAATCGCAGCTGCGAGTGAATGGATTTGTCCGCCTCGACGACGACGCCACGCTTGATGCAGGCCAGCGATGCCATGCGGCTGTTGGTGAAGTGCACATCGTTGCTGATTTGATAAGTCACCTGCTCCTTCTCCTCCTCACCTTCTGCCGGCTGTTCGCTGTCATCCTCTACGCGATAAAAAATAGAGGCGTCAGATAATGAGAACCAACACACACATTCGAGCTGTTATCAAGTTTTCCCCCTGTCAATGCACAAATATTATCTGGCCATGACGCGACCGCAATGCCATTGACACAAATTCATTACCAAGGTGACAGCCTTCGAAATTTCAGCGGCCAAGGTGAAACCTTCAAATTTCGTGCATTCAAGGTCTGAACCTTGAGCGTGCGTTGCTCCCACATCGCCTGACCCTGATGCGGGCAGCATTCAAAGTCGCAAGTCAATGAAATGTACACACAACCGGCCCAAGGTCGCGTCGCTTCCGCAAACAAATCGAAAAACAGCTGTCGTTTGGTTTGTTTACAAGTCGTGACCGGCAAGCTGCACAGCGTCTGGCCACACTAAACAGGCAACAGGTTGGCAGCACTGCGCAGCCGTCATAGTCAAGTAAACTAGAAGGTTGCAAAAGCAGATTGAAAACACGCTAAGCTGACGTCACAAGTGCGCCGCCAGTGCGTATGCAAGGCAACACATGTGCATATTAAACATATTTAAACGATCTCGTAATATTACTGTTTGGCATAATTCGTATAAAATTCCGCAAAATAATTCATTTAACCATTTTCATAACAATTTAAATGATTTACACAGGTTGAGTAGGTAGTGACGTCACCCACATTTCCTACATGCAACAACCTGTTTTTTCATTACCATAAAAGCTACTTCTGATTCAGCTGGCATGATGTCATGCGCACAAGCACAATTGCCAATTGATTTTTACCAAAAATTGTTGCGCATGCAACTTGCACTTTATGCAAATGCAATTATAGACTATAACTATGTTCATTGTAACAGCAACACACATTTAACATTATATTCTATGAAATTTGCCATGCCTTTGCGGGCCGGCGACGCCATTTTGTTCGAATGAGAAAATAATTTTTTTTCTTACCTTTAATGCAATTACGCTGAACATACAGCGCCTGCACTTGGGGATCAGACAGAAACTTGCGAATAGTCTCCTGATTTACTGGATCGTTCAATGCAGTATTTAACGAGTCCGGCACGCCATCCTCCTCCGGCAATAAAATGGTGACAGCTTTGCGCAAGTAATTTGCAAATGCATCGTAGTTGGCAATCGACAGGTTTACGGCCGGATCCACCGATGTGTCGGTGTTATCCAGCGAATCGCCCATCGTTTTCAACTATTTTCGCACTTTATTGAACACTTTAATATATTAAAAATTAACTTTTTCACACCACTTGAAAATTAGCACGCCCTGTGAAAAAATGACGTCTGCAGTTAATGGCGAAAGTGCAACGTCATAGTTGCCAGATAGGTGAAAAAAGTTGCGAAAAGCTTTGCTAAAAATACAACTCTGTTTTTAGCGCTGCCACGCCGTCAAAAGTGCTTCCCGCCAAAATGTTTGCATTTACAACAACTTTGTTCAAGATATCTGGCAGCGCTGTGTCATTGAACAGCTGTGGCCTCTAAACATCGCATTTTGATTTGTTATTTAATACTTGCTAAACTGAACAAGTTGCTGTTTATGTGAACTTTTATCAGTTAAAATACAAAAAATATGCAAGCTCTGAGGCACAAACGCATTCTGCATGGATTTCAATTCAACTGGTGCCGGCGACTGTTGACTCAGAGCTGCACGGGCAGCGGGGTAAGCCGGTAAAAAAAAAGTTGGCACTAAATAAATAGATTTTGTTTTTGTTTTTAGCAATTGGAGCTGACGCACGAGGTGAAACACCGCATCGAAACGCACTGGAAAGAACATACGAATAATGCGCACTTCGATGCCAAGCAGGCCGCAAACAAATACTATGTGCTCTCCATGTTCCCCTATCCCTCGGGCAATCTGCACATGGGCCACGTGCGCGTCTACACGATCAGCGATGCAGTCGCTCGTTTCCAGCGCATGTGCGGCAAGAACGTATTCCAGCCCATTGGCTGGGATTCGTTTGGCCTGCCCGCGGAAAATGCGGCCAACCAGCGCGGCGTGGCGCCAGCCGATTGGACACAACAGAATATTGCACAAATGAAGCAACAATTGGAGCGCTTGGGCTGCTCCTTTGACTGGGCGCACGAGCTGTCCACCAGCAGTCCGCAGTATTACAAGTGGACGCAGAGACTGTTTCTCATGCTGCACAAGCACGGGCTAGCCTACCAGAACGAGGCGCTGGTCAACTGGGATCCCGTTGATAAAACTGTGTTGGCCGATGAGCAGGTGGACGCCAATGGCTGCTCCTGGCGTTCCGGCGCCAAAGTGGAAAAGAAACTGCTCAAACAATGGTTCATACGCACGACCGCATTTGCCAAACAGCTGCTGGACGGCCTGGACGATCCGCGGCTGCGCGACTGGCGCGATATCATTAATCTGCAGCGCCATTGGATTGGCGAGTGCAATGGTTACGCCTTTACGCTGCCCACCTCCGCCTCGAATCTGCTGCGCGTCTGGACTGCCAATCCCGAGCATCTGAAGGATCCGCATGCATTCCTTGTACTCCGCAGCAAACACTTTCTATCGCAATTACCCGATGCGGACCAGCTCAGCGTGGAGAATCCCTTTGCGCACACCATACTCCCGGTGGTGTTCAATGACGAGGCCGCGTTTCCTGCACACTGTGATGTTTACTTGGCAGCGCCCAGTTTCCGTGCCGAGGATCGCGAGCTGTGGGACAGCCTCGGGCGGGCTTTCGGCATTTCTAGTAAGGATGAGGCCCACATCAATCCCGGCAACTGGGAGCAGCTGCGCAAGGAGGTGCTACAGGCGGCCAGTCGACTTAATGTGGGCGGCTATCGCGTCTCCTCCAAGCTGCAGGATTGGCTCATCTCACGCCAGCGCTACTGGGGCACGCCCATACCCATTGTGCACTGTCCCAAATGTGGAGCTGTGCCCGTGCCGGAGCAGCAGCTGCCGGTTACTTTGCCGCCGCGCGATTCTGGCAAGGATGCGCTGCGCTGCGAATGCCCCAAATGTGGTGAGCCGCGGGCGCAACGCGAAACGGATACCATGGACACATTTGTGGACAGCTCCTGGTACTATCTGCGCTATCTGGACGCGCACAATGCGAATGAGATCTTCGATGCCTCGCTGGTGCAGCATTTCATGCCCGTGGATCTGTATATTGGCGGCAAGGAGCACGCCGTGCTGCATCTGTACTACGCCCGCTTTATGAATCACTTTCTGCACAGCTGCGGCCTGTCGCCCACAACGGAGCCCTTCTCCCGCCTGCTCGTACAGGGCATGGTCATGGGTCGCTCGTATCGGGTGAAGGGCAGCGGACGTTACGTCCGTGAGCCGGAAGTGGAGATTGTAAATGCCAAAAAGAATCAGGCGCTGCTGAAGGCAACCCAAGAGCCGGTGGTCATGAGCTGGGAAAAGATGTCCAAGTCGAAACTGAATGGCGTCGAGCCGGACGACATGTTCGACGAGTACGGCACGGATACGACGCGCCTGATCATCCTGGCCGATATGGCGCCCACTTCGCATCGCAATTGGTCTAGCGCCAGTGAGTAAGCATTTCTTATAGCTGGCTAAAGTTAATCTTGTCTGGTTTGCTGCTTCAGCTTTTCCGGGCATACTTAACTGGCAGAAGCGCTTGTGGCTCACCGTGGAGGAGTTCCGTGCGGCACGCGAGGAGCCCTCAACGGACCAGGTGGACACGGGCAGCGAGGACTTTTTGGCCGAGGACGCCAAGCTCTTCGATGCACGCAACTTTTATGTGAAAGGCGCCACCTTCAACTATCGCCATGCGCATCAGCTAAGCGTCGCCATCTCCAAGATGCAGGGTCTCACCAATTCGCTGCGGGTGAGTCCACCAGCTATCTCCACTATGTATCCTTATAATCTTCATCTTCCAGCGTACTCCCAAGTATATTCAGCGGCAGGGCAAACAGTTTGAGCGCGCCTTGGCCGCACAGCTCATCATGCTGGCGCCGATGGCGCCGCATTTTGCCTCCGAGCTGTGGTCCAAGTTTGTAGCGGCGCCGGGTCGCCTGAATGCCGCCAGCGAGGAGCTGCAGTGGACGCAGGATGTGCTGGCACAGCGCTGGCCCGACGTGGACGCCGCATACCAGCTCGATCTGAGCATCAAAGTCAACGGCTACGAGAACTGCGTCATTAAGGTCGCGCGCCATCAGCTGGACAAGGTCAGCCACAGCGATGCCATGGACATTGCCTTCAACACGCACTCGGTCACTTCGTATCTGATTGACAAGAAGATACGCACCACCAACTTTGTGCTCTACCCGGGCATCGAGGCCATACTCAACATCTACGTCGACAAGCTGGCAAAGACGCAGAAACCGGCGAGCAGCAGCGATGCGGACAAGCGGCAGGCCGAATAGCCAAGCCACAACTAATTGTTAAGCGAAGCCTAGTTTATTGTTATACGGAAATTGCATTTCCTTAAAGAAGTTAAGTCGAAGCTGAGTAGGTCAAGCTTGAGACCTTTATGTAAGCCGAGGCGACTTTATATATACTCTTGCAGAGGTTAATATAAATTAGGTGTGAAGGGAAAAGTCAACTTCGATTCTATAAAGTATATAAATTCCTAATAAGAGCTAAAAGTTATGTCTGATTCCCTATAAGAGTTATTTACATTTGTCCGTCTGCTTCTATAAAAACAAATCTTAACTTTAAAGCATTTATATTTTTGTTGCAAGCAGCATTAAATTTGTATATTGACTCAATCGAAATACTATATAATTTAGCTGCCAAGGGAAATGTCGGCAAAAGAACACAGATTTTGTATGAAATATATTTTTATAACCTAGCAGGAGGTAATCTAATTTTTTCCCCAAATGTGTAACGCCTAGAAGGAAACATCTCCGACCCTATAAAGTATATATATTCCTAATCAGTATCAACAGCCGAGTCGTCCGTCTGTCTATTTATATGCAAGCTAGTCTCTCAGTTTTAAAGCTATCGTTAGAATCTTCGCATACGTCCCTCGGGCTGAAACAGACCCTTCTTTCTCGTTTCCTTTCAAAGTATACTAAAATCAGCAAACCAAAGCATCTTTATGTAGCTACAGCTAGATATTATAAGAGTCGGACTATTATAGTATATAGGAACAATTTGTTATATATCTGATAGGCTATTCAATCTATGGCAGCCCCAATTAAAACGGTTCTTTCTTGTTAAATTCTTAAAGAGAGTAGTATAATTTTCTGAAATGTTTAACGCATATCAACAAATGTTTCTGACCTTTATAATATATATTATAAAATATTATTCCTGATCTGTATTAAACAGCTGAGTCGTAAAGCCGTGTCCGTCTGTCTGTTTATATTAAAATTAGTCGATAATTTCCAAAGCTATTGTCATAAAATGTTGCATTGGTCCAACTTTTTACTGCGAGCAGTTCATATTTTGGAGTTGGCTTGATCAGAATACTATATCATATAGCTGCCATAGGAACGATCGGTCTAAAATTTAAGATCTTACTATTTATCTAGATATGTCGACTAAACACGGCATTTATAAGTTTTCCTGTTTCAAACTTCTATATCATATAGGAATAATCTGTCAAAGAATGAATTAAGTTTTTTTTAAAATTAATTGCCTTGTAAGAGTTGTCCCCAAACCCCAGCAAAAGTGTAATACCTATCTCTACAAAGGTATTCCATCTGCGGATGGCAAAGATTGGGGTTTTTTCTCCATGTTACTTATATATTAAACTAACATAGGGACAATCGTTAGAATATGAAGGTAGAGTACAGAAATACTAAGCAATAGTAATTCTGCAAGGGTATTCATATCTTTGGTAAACCAAAGTGTACTATTTTTTGTTATCTTTGTAATTTATTGTTTAAGTTTAATGTTAAATTTATATAAAAATTGGACTATATATGCACGGTTGTTGCTTTACAAGAATTGGTTACATTGGGGTTATTTGGGGGGGGGAGGTAAATGCCTAGGATCATAGGAATAACGTTAACTGTTTTTTTTTGGGTGCCAATTCTCCACTAAAAGCGTTTAAGTCTAAAACAAAACATCTACAAACCTGACACGAGCCAACACTGCTCCAACTGGGAGTTCCTTCTAGTGGGATTAAGCCTGAAGTAGAGTCCTGCTTTTCGGATATTCGAACAAATGTTCGGTGCGGCAATCGATCTCCAAGCTCGAACATCTCGGTTGCAGTCGAACAGGTTGCACTCGAACATGTCGCAGAGCAGATCGAACGTCGGTTCGAGTCTGTCGGTTCGATTGAGTATCCGAGTCTCTAGATCTTCAATCACAGTGGCAAATTGGCCCATGCCTGGCACTTGGCCGGCTCCGTTTCACTTCATCAGCTCGGCCATCAGATTGCGCAGATAGACATCCAGCTGGGCATAGTCGAGCAGCGTATTGCGCACAATGTCCATCAGCATGCTGGGCCAGAGCGTCTCCAGCTTGTGCAGCTTCTCGACCGCATTGCAGGTATTCTCCAGCAGCAGCGCGAAATGCTGCCTGCCCCGATCTCGGGCACTGGGCGCCATCGCAATGTGTCCACCCTCCACGCCGGTTGTCGTGGCCGTTGTCTTCTTCCATTGGAGCGCCTCCTTGCCGACGACCAGGCGCAGGGATTTGTTTTCGGGTCGCAGCAGCCATTCCTTGGGCGACAGCTTGCTGGCCGTGCAGCTCTCGTCGAGGCGCAGCCGCGCCAGCAGCGGCTGCAGCATGCCATCGGGCATGGACCAGAGCACCAGATTCGAGAGTCCCGTGTACATGGCATTCGCCTGCTCCGTCTCCGCCTCGCCGATCTCCTGGCCATTGAGCTGCTTGAGGCCCCAGTGGGACAGCCTGTAGATGGCATAGGCGCGCCAGTCCGGCTTGCCCGTTATGGCATTGCCCTCGGCATCGATCAGCAGCGAGCTGAGACCCTGCAGCTCCGCGAGCGCATTCAGCTGCCCGAGCGAGCTGATGTTCGTCTCGCGGAACACAAAGTGCTCGGCATGGGGGAAGCGTATCTTAATCCTGCCCAGCATGCAGACAATGCTATTGAAGTTGATGTAGCTAAAGTTGAGGGTGTGCACATCGTTCGCCTTCGCCGGATTCCATTGCTTGTCGATGAAACGCAGCGCGCCCTGCCCATAGATATTCAGGTATCTGCCGCAGATCTCTATCAGATAATCTCCGCCCTGCTCTCGCTCACGCTCCGCGGCGCTCGGCTTCGACACGGTCATGCCAGTGCCTGGTGTGGGCGTGGGCGTGGCTGGCGCAGGGGGAGGAGCAGCAGCTCCTGCTCCTGCTCCTGCTGCCGCCTTGCTCTGCGGCGGCAACAGGGAGACGACATTGGGCACATTGTTGTGGCTCTGCTTGGCGCGTCCCGCGCTGTTGGAGCTGCTGCTGTTGCTGGCGCCGCTGCTGCTGCTGATGGTCTGGGAGCGCACCAGGCTGCCGGTCATGTAGCGCTTGGAGCAGCCTGCCGGATTGCCCCGGTTCACCTGCAGACCCAGCTGCATGATGGGCGTCGTCTGGCGCAGGCGTTGCTTGCCGCCGCCGCTGCTGCTGCTGCCGGGACGGGCGCTGCTGGCGGCGGGCGTGGTTGGCAGGGGCAGCGTCACAGTGGTGGGCGGTGGTGTTGGTGTGGGCGTGGCAGCGGGCACAGGTGTGCCGGAAGCGGGCGGCGTCAGGGTCAGAGCGGGCGTCGTGGACGAGGCGGACGGAGGAGCAGGAGGAGGAGCAGTGGGAGACGGAGGAGGAGCTGCTCCCAGTTTGTTGCAGTTCTCGTCGATCTGTGGTTGGGACAACTTGTTGGCCTCCTCGTTGTCCGTGCTGTAGCAGCTGGAGCAGGAGTCCACATTGGGTCCCAGACTGGAGGCCGTCGACGAGGCATCCTCCTCCTCGTCCAGCTTGGGCTTCGAAGCGATGAGCGGCAGCTTGAACAGCGCCTGCAGCTCGGCAAGCTCATCCCTCGGCTGCTGTTGAGGCATCTGTTCCGGCTCCTCGGAGACGGCCGCCTCGTTGGACTCATTGATCTTGGCCAGCTCGCTGGTCAGCTTGCCTGCCTTGGGCCTGCCCAGCGTTTGCTGCGAACGCAACAGCTCCCAGTTGGTGCGCGCATTCGAGATGACCTCCTCGCGCCGGCTGCCGTGCGTGGCCAGTGCCTGCTCCTTGTGCTGGCGCCAGGCCAGTGCGGCGCGACGCACCTGCTCCGTGATGGGCATCTGGCTGAGCGACTGCAGCAGCGGCAGATGCGACACCAGAAACGACACACAATCCCCCGCCAACGAGACGGGATTATTCTCGATGGTCACCTCCAGGAGGCGCACGGCACGCGCAATGCTCGCCATGTCGTCGACGCGATGCAGCTCGTTGTGGCACAGCCAGAGCCGCTCCAGCGCCAGCAGATGCTGGAAGCCATTGATGCGTCGCAGCTTGTTCCGCTTCAGGTTCAGCTCGCGCAGGCAGCGCAGCCCGTGGAAATCCTGCTGATTGATCTGCCGTATTTGATTGCCGGCCAGATTGAGGGACTTCAGCTGATGCAGGCAGCTGATCCGGCTGCCCAGGCTTGTCAGCTTGTTGCCGTGCAGATCCAGGACGCGCAGCGTCGCTCTCAGCGACGACAGGCCGCCAATGTCCGTAATGCGATTCTTGCCCAGCAGCAGCACGGAGAGCGCGGGTAATCCATCCAGATTGGCGATGCGTTCGATCTGATTGTCGTAGAGATCCAGGAAGACCAACTGATGGAAGATGTTGCCGTAGCAGGCGCTCAGGCTCAGCTGTTTGTTCTTGATGCTCAGCTGCTCCAGCTGCGAGCAGCTGCTGAGCAGCTCCTCCGCCTCCTCCCCAGCTCCTGCTCCGCCTCCTGACTGTACGCTGCCCTCGTCGCAGCTCTGCTGCAGCTGCTGCTGCTCGGGAGTTCGCCCCGCAGCCGCCTGGAGTCCGGCCTGCGCCCGGAGCAGCTGCCGCCGCTGCATCAGCTGCTGCTGCAGGCTGTTGGACACAAAGCTCTTCGACTTCTCCAGGCCGTGGCGCAGCCGCAGCGCCGGCGGCGGCGTCAGCTGTGCCTGGGCATAATTGAAGCCTCGCTTCGTCAGCTTCGAGCGATATGCGGTGCCGCCATTGATGGCCACCGCCTGGGCGGTCAGCGGGCTGCCCGAGCAGGGGCTGCCGGAGTTGGGCGAGGCCAAACGCCCGTTGCTCACGTGGCTCATGGTGCGCGTCAGACGCGAATATGTCGGATGTCCACGCAGTCCGGAACGCGGCTCCGGCGTGGCCTTGTTGCATACATCTAAGGATAAACGGGAATTAGTCAAGTTGGCTTCACATACACTTGGAGAAAATTAGGGTACTCAATCTATCTATAAAAGTGACTGACTAATTCATTGATTGACTGCTTGACTGATTGATCGATGGACTGCATGACTGAATGACTCACTATCTGATTGATTGACTGACTGATTGACTGAATAATTAATTGACTAATTATTGATGGGCAGATTGATTCACTGAATGAGTGATTGACTAACTGACTGAGTTACTAAGTGACTGACTAACCGATTGATTGATTAACTGCTGGACTGATTGATCGATTAACTGCATGACCGATCATCTGATTGATTGACAGATTGACGGACTGATTGAATGAGTGAGTTCTTGTATGACTGACGGACCGACTGACTGAATGATTGATTGAATGGTTGACGGATAAAATGGGTAACTGACTGAGTAACTGACTGATTGATTGCTTGACAGACTGAATTGATGGATTTTCTGAGTAACTGTGTGACTGACCGATTGAATGACTGACTCATTGACTTTCTGATTAACAGAATGACTGGTTGAGTGGTTGATTGACAGATTGACGGACTGATTGAATGAGTGACTTTTTGTGACAGACCGACTGCCTTAATGCTTAATTGAATGATTGACGGATAAACTGGGTAACTGACTGAGTAACTGACTGATTGATTGCTTGACTTACTGAATTGACGAAGAATACTGAATAGCTGTCTGACTGATTGATCGATTAAATTACTATTTGATTGATTATCTCAATGACTGATGGATTGCAGAATGCGGACTGGTCTAATGAGGGACTTTTTGTGTGATTGACGGACCGACTGGCTGAATGATTGATTGAATGATTGACGGAAAGACTGAGTAATTGACTGATTGATTGGTTGACTGAGTAACTGTCTAACTGACTGAACGACTGACTGATTGACTGCTTGACTGACTTACTATTAACTCAGAGACTGACTGACGGATTTACTGACTAACCAACTGACTGATTGACCGATTGAAAGACCGACTGATTGACTTACTGATTAAATCAGTGACTGATTGAGAGATTGATTGACAGATAGATGGACTGATTAAACCGACGAGTAGCTCTCTGACTGATTGAAAGATAGACTGATTGACTGCTTGACTGACTGTTAACTTACTCTGGTTGATCTGCTGGCTCTGCTCGCGCGGCGTAGGCTGTGGAGCAGGCTGTGCCACTGGCAGCTCCTTGGGTATGTGAAAGGTGTTGATCAGATTGTGCTGCAGCGAGAGCAGTCGCAGATTCGGCTCCTGCTCGAATATGGGTATGGCAGTTAGACCCCGACGATCGTAGTTGATGCGATCGGGCAGCTCCTCCCGCTCCTTGGCCAGACGCTGGATGCGACAAATTCCATTCGGCTGCGGCGTCACAATCGCGCCGCTGACCAAAGTGCCGCCCGTGCTGCCCACCAGCGTGTGGGGCGTGGCGGCGGCGACAACAGCACCAACAGCAGCAGCAGATCCAGCGGAGGCGACGGCGGCGGCAGCTGATGTCGCCGGCCGACAACTGTTCGAGGCCGCCGACGAGGAGGTGGACTTGGAGCGCTGCCGGGTGACGGTGCCGCGCTGCAGCCGATGCTGGGCAGGAGCATAGCTGCGCCGCAGCTGCTGCTGCTGCTGCCCGACGAGCAGTTCCGTCGGAGGCTGGACGGCGACTTGGACGCGCTTCTGTATAACATGGTGGCTGAGGGTGCTGTGGGAGCGACCAATAGGACGCCGGCGCAGACGTTGATTAAAACTAGGAACAAACGGTTCGATTTTCAGCAAAGATGTTTGAGGTAAATAGTTTTGTTGCGGTTGTTGCAGTTGTTGTTGCTGTTGCTGTTGTTGCTGTTGCTGTGGCTCGGGCTGCTCATCGTTTAGCATGGATTTGCCGCGACATTTTGCCATGGACATGAGCGTGCGACGCCGGGCAATCGTTGCCGCCTGCGCCTGGCCCGTTGCCGTGCGTTGGGCTTCCACCTTTGAGTTTCATAATCGATGCGGCACCACATCCACGGACATGGCTAACAGCTGGAGCAGGAATCCTTTATTCTGCCGTAGTACATCCCATTTAAATGGAAATTTAAGCCAGACTGTGCCACACTTACCCGGAACTGAAAGTGTTTTGTTTTTTTTTTCTGCCTGCTCGGAAGTTATCTAATTTTTTCGGTTTCAGTTTCGATTTCAATTACAATTCGATTCGATTGGCTCCTCCACTTGCTCCTGCTGCTGCTGCTGCGCTGTGGAGCACCTGGTCTGCTGCTGCTGCTGCTGCTCTTGTCCTTCTGCTTCGGTCTTTTGAGGTATTTTTTGCGATTGTTGTCTTCGGGGCATGGGCATGTTTTATTAGTTTGTTTATTCGGGTTATACATATGGCAATTGTTGGCGCGGTTGCCATAGACCTGCTGAAGACAGCCCGTACACCCATAGACCCATATAGATAGCTGCCTCTCGCTCGCACATCCTTATCGCTGTCCCGCTCGGATATTGCCTTTGGCTCTATTGCTTCGTGATTTCAGCTATTAGTTTGTTTATTTAAAGCGCTTTTGGGGCGACCGACTAACAGACAGTCAGACAGTCAGACAGACAGACAGTCGCACAGTCAGTTCGACTCTTAGCTGACTTCTAAACATGCCAAAACATTCTCTTCAGCTGCTTGCGTTTTCATTGGGCGCTACAGTCGGTTTTGTGGGGCCTATCGGCATTATATATCAAAGGGGGAACGGGCTCTCTCAGGTAAGATATTGTCTTTTGCAACTTAAACGATTCTGAGGGGCTTCAAATTTCAAATAAAACTCGTTAAAACAAGAAATAACAGTTGTTTTTCAAGTAACGAAGCCTAAATACCCTGCAAAAGTACTTAATCTTAGTGTAGTTTCTTATAGAAGAGTGCTTCGAACGTCACAGATTAAAATAGCAAAGTTTGGGGATCGAACCTTGAGTAAATTGAATTTTACGCGAGCAGCGCCGGGTAATCTATTGAGTATACAATACTGCTTTGAAACGTCAGACATTCAAGTAGCAATGTTTAGGGACCGAATTTTGAGCAAGTTTAATTTTACCCGAGCAGCGCCGGGTAATTTTTTTTAATATTATTAAGGTATACTTATTTATTATATTATTTTGATATATTCTCAAGATCTCAAGATCTTAGATGTCTAAGGCTAAGACATTGGTTTTATATTGACTCGGCTGTTGACGCTGATCAAGAATATATATTCTATACTTTCAACAAGTTAATGTAACCCACTTTAAGCGTGGAATAAAACACACTTAAAACTTACAAGAAACAGTACTTAAATGTTGAACTTTAGCTAGATTTGCAATTTCCCATTTCCTATGGCCAAAATGTAAAGCGTTCACAGCGTTCACCTTGGCCGTGCAAACTTAAACCAAAGTCGTTTGCATTAAAAACATATTTTGTGGTTTTTGCCATGGCTGTTGTTGTTGTTGTTGTTGTTGTTATGACTGTTGCAGAAGGAAACAGTTTGAATTGCGTATGGCAACTCCCGTCGAACGATAGAGAGGAGGGTGAGTGAGGGGGAGAGGGGGGGGGTGCCTTGAGTGAAAGACACGCACATAATTGGCTGCCAACATAATGGATTCACGTGCCAGTCGGCTGTCTGGCAGCTCTGGCTGCTGCTTCTTCTTCTTCTTAGCTGCTTCTTCTTCATATGCAAAAGTTAAACGAGAAACGCAGCGAGTGCGAGGGAGAACGCAAGCGAAGCATGTGCATTCGTCAAGTTTAGGCCAACAACAGTTAGCACGCACGACAGCGTAGTCAAGTCTCAAGCCAGAGACAAACAAACGGACAGAGCGAGAGAGCAAGAGCGAAAGAGAGAGAGAGAGAGAGTAAGCGCAGAACGGGAAGCAGAGGGGTGTACTTGACGCTGCTGCCAAATCAAAAGACACAGACAACAATTCGAATTTAATTGTTGTCGTAAAAAATTGGCATAAACCAAAAATCTGCTGTGAATGTGCGTGCGTTGGCATTTTATGGCCAGAAAAATGGCAAAAGAAAAGGAAGCAGAAGAAGGAAAGGAAAAGGAGCAACAGGAACTGCCCCAATGTCTGGGTTGTTAATTGCAGTTGCACAAAAGGGTTCAATAACTCGACTGTTGATTGGCAACCAAGGCAAGTCGGAAGGCGAGGGGGGGGGGGGCAGTTAGCCAGGTTTAAGGCCGAGAGCACGCTAATTGTTGTTATTGTTGCCTGCGTTCAACGAACTACTCGACGCCTGCAACAAGTGCCACAAGGATTTTATGGCCTTAACCTGTGAGTGGAAAATAAAAAAATGAGTAGGGATATTCTCGAGTTTGTGCAAGACAAATTCACAATTGATTGTGAACTTTAACTATTGTGAACTTTAAACACAAATTAAAGTGGAATATATTTTGTTGCTAATTGGTATTAAAATCCTTGCGCAAATACTTGACCTGAATGTCCTGAATAACTTAATCCCAGAGTATCTAGTTACACATTAGTCCAATTAATTTAAATGTTCTAGCTGAAAATCATTGATATGACATGAATTTAAAACTGGTTAAGCTTAGAGAAAGAAAGGAAGAGAAAGAAAGGGAGAGGGGGCGGGGGAGAGAAATTAATAGTACACAAATATATATATATTGAAATTAAACCAACATTAAAGACTTTACCAAAAAGAAACTAGTTACAAAATTAAGTCCAGATTATTACGCATTATCTGCCGCAGAAAATTCCCCCTCCTGCAAGAAAAGTCCCTCTTAAGAAAAATCCCTCTCCAAGAAAATACCCAACCAGTTGCGCTCTTGCTTTGACTTGCCGTTAGCTCAAGTGTTGTGCAACGATTTCAAGTTTAAAGTTGAAAAGTTGCACAAAGTTTTCAATTGTCCGTTGTCCGTTACATTCGTCGGGTATTTAATGCCATTCTCATTGATTGGCCGCGCCTTTGGCTTCCACTGCCCGCACCCCCGCCCGCAGCACGCAGCACCCCGCTAACCTCCCGCGGGGTTAACCGTTGCTGTTTCGCGCTATTTGCTTCTGTTGTTGACATCCTTTTGGGCCATTAATTTTACAGACTTTTGCATGGTTAAAAGCCCAACGTTGTTGGCTTAATTGTTGTTGCTCTGCCGTGCTCTGCCCGTGTTGTTGTCTGTTCTAGATAAAAAGCCAGCAGCGGCAGCAGCTCGGCTCAACCTTTGGCCCCGCTCCCCTCCCTACGGTGCACATTTGTCAGCGTCTGTCAACCTTGGTGATATTTTCACTTTCGCTATGCGCTCTTGTCTTCGCGCGCTCATTATCTCAATTGTTGTTGCTGTTGCTCTTATTGTTGTTGTTTTTTTTTTATTTTTAATAATTATAGCGCGCTGCTACAATTGTCCCTGACCAACACACTCACACACACACTCACACACACAGTTGTGAAGAAGAAACGAGTTGATAAATTGCGCGCACAGCAGCGGGCAGAAAAATTGCGAACAAATGCAGACAGTAAAAGAATGCGTGCGTGTGTGTGTGGTTGCTTGAGCCTGCGTGAGTGTGTGTGTGTCTACGTATGCCTGCGTGTGTGTGCGTGTGGGCTGTGTGTCATCATTAGCTTTTGGCGCTCTTCATTGGCCCAGCGCTGGACGAGCAATTTAATCAGCCTGGCAGCGCGCAGAAAAGCTGATAATACCGTTATGAATAATTTACACCAAACAAAAGCATTTACACACAGTCATACACACACGCACACACAGACACACGCACGCAGACGCGCTTTATTATTGTTTTACTTCTCTGGGTTTATTTATAATTAATAACGCGCTAGCAACAGTAGCCAGAACAAGTAAGTGTGCTTCAGTCAGGAGTAGCCGACTAGGAGATACCCTGCATCCAGCGACGAGTTGCCGTTGATTGATTGATTGCCGTTGTTTTTTTTGCTGTTCCTTTTTTCTTTTGCTCCACAGTACACTAAGTGTGGGAAACGTTATCTTGATTAAGATCGGAATTTATACTCCGATCTATACGAAATTTTCAGAGCCTGAATAAGGAATACGAAAATGTGTGTGTATCAAAGGGCAAGGCTCTATCTTTTCACCTGTCAATTTGTGGGGGAAAGGAATTTGTATCTAAAAAGTAAAAAGTTCTTAATTGGAAACGAAAATCTATTAAAAAAATTTGATGTTGCCAGATCCCTAGATCCCAGATCTCTATATTACACACAGAGAAACAACTTAGCTCTTCTTCCTGATCATGGTGATGGACATTTACAAACTTTCACATTTATGCATTATACCCTTCTTTCCCATTCCATTGGGAATGGGCAAACCCTGAATAACAATAAGAAGAAAAATGTAAACAATAGCAAACGACTATTTTCGGGAGTTCGACGATTAAATACCCTTTTAAATATGAATGAGTTTTTTATAAAAAAAAACTTTATTTCCGACAGATTGCGATTGATATGGTTAAATGATATGATACAGCTTTGCAGATATGATAGGAGACTAGTGAACATTGTAATTGTCAATTTTGGAAGGAAATTCTTGAAAAAACAATCTAAAAACTGACAAAGCAAATTATTTTTGAGCTATTCTTTATTAAGGAAGTAGGTATAGGTATAGCTAGGTAGGTATAGTTAGCTATATTAGTCGATTGTAAGTTAAATTTGGAGAACTTTAAAGCCAATTTTTTCGAAAACCAAAACAGGATTCCTTATACGAATATGATATAAAAGATAAATATACTTCAATACTTTTATCAAATCTACTATTTATCAAGAACATATATAAAATATAGGCACTCAAATGCCAAATGCCAATGCGTTACATATTGCATGACCAAATAATAATATCCTCTCGCAAGGGTAGAGCAGATGTGGTCTCTTTATATTCACTTTCGCCCTCTGCTGCTGCTGCTGCTGCTTCTTGCACAAAGAATCTGGGCGTGAGGTCATTTTAATTAGATGCGGTAACCTGTTGCGGCTGCCGGTTATGTGGGAGGGGGAGGGGGAGGGGATGGGGTCGGGGGCTATGTAAATAGTCGGCGTCTCAATCTTAGCCACAGTCTCATGTCAAAAGCAATGCGATGCCGCTGGCAACGCCGCAAAAATCTTGAAAGCGACGCCTGCGGTTGGCCGGGTTGGAGGGGCCGAGAGAAAGGGGGAAAGGGGGCGTGGCAAAGCTGCCGACTGACCGCAGTCAATTAAACGGAACCAGCAAGAGAAACCGCCAAAACGCAGCGCTAGACACTTATCACTTATCAATATTTAATATAAATATATTTGGTATTCCTTGACATAGAATAAAATAAAATAATATTAAAACTTCAATATCAGATACTTATACACATGTATATAAAAAACTCGCACACACACACACACACACACTCTTGCAAATCAGCTTACACACGTTCCGTTCGTGGATCTGGTTCTTGTGAACCGCCACAGCTTTGAACGTTTGCTCAGGCTAGTCATCTCGCTCGCACTTATGCCCGACTGCAGCAGCAGCAGCTCATCCTTGGCACAGGGTGATTCCAGTTCCAGTTCCATTTCCGTTTCCGTTGTGTTGAGTATTTGTGCGACGTGCGCCTCGTCGATTGTGCCCTTGAATATGAGAGGATATGGCCACTCGTGACAGATGGTGGGTCCACTGTAGTTGCGCAGCGCCTCGATCAGGCTGTCCAGGCGATGCACCTCCGCGTAGTCGTCGTTTATCGACCTCACCTCGTCCAGCAGCGCGGTCACATTCGACTCGAGCACCTGCAAAGCCCGCGAGAGGTGTGAGAATGAAAATTAGATTAGCCTTAAATCGCTTTGTTTGCTCGATTTGCTGTCGGTGTCAAATGACGGCGTTACGCTCTTTGCTAGCCCCGGGGCTCAAACCTAGCACAAGTCGGAGTCCAGTCGAGGGTGACTGCGAAGTCATCTCTCTGCCTGGCACCGAGTCTTCTAACATACTTATGCACTCACGCATACAAATTGAGCCTCTCCATATCGGCTTCTTCTCATTTCATTCAGATTTTCACTTGACGAAAAATAAACTCTTCAATAACTCTTCTTCTATTGGTTCGATTGTTTTGAAATTTTCAGGACATAAAGCTGGCATTCCAGTATATGTGTATCCCAAAGTTCAAGGCTGGACCCAACATATTTCTCGAAATTTACTGATTTTTTTTTTGTTGCGATTATCTCTCGATAAGTCGAGGGTGACTACGAGGTAGCTTCTATACTGCATGCACAAACACATATCCATCTCTGCTTCTTCTCATTTCATCCTCATTTTCACATAAGGAAAAATGAACTCTTCAATAACTCTTGTTCCATTGCTTCGATTGTTTTGAAATTTTCAGGTCATAAAGCTCTCATTCAAGTATGTGTGCATCCCAAAGTTCAAGGCTGGACCCAATATATTTCTCGAAATATACTGATTATGTTTCAGTTGCGATTATCTCGGGAACATGCCAACAAAAATCTGGAAACTAGATCCTTTTGATTGGTTATTGCTTTCCCTGTGATACTCAACTACAGGTATACCTTATCTACAACCAATTTTTAATGAGTACCGGGTATAAAAAAGTATTCGTTCGTTCTCATATCTTGTGACTTTGTCATGTGCATTCGTCGTTGACGGCTCAGATTTCAGTTGAGTAAAATCCATGCATTGTCGTCCATTCGCTTTTGTTTATTTGCTACCAATTAGCAAATTCTGTGAACCACGCAAACTAAGCTCATGTCAAACTGAATGTCAGTGCACATGAACGCCCCCACCCCCTCGCCCAGCCCAAGCACAGTGTGGCGGGGCGGCGGCTCACCTGAACTCAGGTGTGTGCAGATTACAAATTTGTAAACAAGTTTATTATTATTTCATCAGGTATGTGAATTCTCACCCAACAAACAGCTATAATGTCTTGATTATATATCGGGTATATATATATTTCGGAATCCGAAATAATGGCCCATTGTCTAGACTGGCAATCAGTGCAGCCGGCTGTTCCATTTAGCGTAAAGTCGGCCCCAATAGCCGGCTATAATTGCATTAACTTGTCGGGAATCTGTGTCGCAACTGTTAACAGTTACACTTACTCTAGCGGGGAGGGGGGGCGGAAAGGGGTGTGGCAGGGGGCATGTATTTACGACGCTTCCCATTGGCTGATAACGGCTATTAGCTGACAACTGATAGCTGAAGTGAAAGCCTAAGGACAGATAACAGCGTCGAGTGTAAATTAAACCAATAAGGAGGTTAAGCCGAAGACTGAATACCCTCATATGGCTTAATCTTATGCAAATATGTGATAAGTGATATAAGTTTATCGTGAGGAACAAAAAGTTCTTTTGCAGCAAGAGCTTAGTTTTTGACTGTTTGGAGTAATATGACAACTATATGATATAAGAGTTCGATGTTGGTAAAAAAAAAAGTTATTTTTCATACTCGACCGATTATTCCTATGTCAGCTATGTGATATGAGAGTCCCATGTTGATAAAACAAGAGTATTATTCATGCAGAAACTTCATTAGCGACCACCAATGTTAACCATATGATATAGTCGATCGATCTAGCCAGTTCCGACATATTTATAGGCTTCAAGAAAAAAAAACGGACCTATACAAAGTTTCATGACTGTAGCCTTAAAACTAAGAGACTAGTTAGCATAGAAACAGACAGAAGGGCAGCTTTACATATATGCTTATAAAGAATATATATATTTTATGGAGTTCAGTCTGTTCCGACATATGTTTCGCCTAGAAATAAAAATAAGTGGACCTATGCAAAGTTGCATGACTGTAGCGTCTAAACTAACAGACTAACTAACTAAGACACAACTATTCATATATATATGTACTCTATAAGTTCCTAAGCTGTCTTCTTCAATGCGTTACACACTTCCTGCCATATTCATAGTACCCGCTGTGAGGGCATAAAAACAAATTAACAGTTGAGTTGTCTGCCGGGTTCATCATATCAACTGTCGAGAGCTTTCCACAACAAATCTTATGTGACGCTGCCTCTCACTCGCACACACATACACTCACACCTTCCCTCTCTCTCGCCCCTCTCTCTCGCCCCTCTCTCTCGCTCTCTCTGTGGCTCGTCTGCCGCGTATTACAGTTTAATGTCAAAGCTTTTTTTTGTTGTTCAATTACCAAAAACTCAATGTGCAAATTAATAACACAATTTAACACTTGACGAACGCGAAGCCGCAAGCTCTCAACGCTGCGCAGCAGCTGTCGACGTCGCAGCACGGCGCTGCTGTCGCTGGTGAGCGTGGGCGTTGGCGTTGTGGGCATGGCCAAACCGTTAGCCTCTTGTTCGATTTGCAGCGGTGCAATGACAATGGCCACCACTGTGCCCGCAGTTGTCCAATTTGGTTCGCTTCTCTCTGTTTTACATAGTGCTAATTTTATAATATTTTCCGTAAAATGTTTTTCTTTTTCCTGCTTTTGCTTTTGTTGCGGCTTTTAGCGGTATTTCGCTGTGCTTTGTTTGTTATGTAAAACGCGGCCGCTCGGGCTCAGCGCTCGGCGTTGACTGGCCCAGCGGCTTCCGTAGCGGTACCTTTCCATACGACGCAGCTAAACGTAGCTGTAGATGTACATATATGAGTACACAGAGAGAAAGAGTCAAGTGTTTTGTGCAATAATTTAGATATTTTCGTTATATAATTCCGTTTATAGCGTTAATACTTGATTCAAGCGTAAAAATCGTATTTCCAGTAGTTAAAAACTTAATTCAAGTTTTATTTTGGTTTATTTTTAAGTCTAATTGGCTTGGTTATAATAAGGGAATAGTTTAATATTAACTTTGAAGACCTTTAAACAAAGTAAATTATTAGCGGTAATACTTGATTCAAGTGTGAAAATCTTATTTCAAGTAGTTAAAAACTTAATTCAAGTTTTATTTTGGTTTATTTTTGAGCCTAGTTGGCCTGGTTATAATAAGGGAATAGTTTAATATTAGCTTTGAAGACTTTTAAACAAAGTAATTTATTAGCGGTAATACTTGACTCAAGCGTTAAAATCGTATTTCAAGTAGGAAAAAACTTAATTCAAGTTTTATTTTGGTTTATAAGGTTAACTTTGAAGACTTTTAAATTAATTCAGTTCAGTTTAAGAGCATCAATATTTAATTAATTTTCTTTTGGCTTATTTTGTAGGCTAACTGGGCTTATTTTAAAAATAGAATATAAAGAAAAAAGATTGAAGACTTTTAAACAACATGCTTAAAAGATTTTCATTAAAAACCTTGAAGTATGTCTAATATTTGGTCAAATGAAGTCAAATTTATTCCTAAAGCAGTGTCAGCTTAAGCTTGAAATAAGTATAGCTTTATCTGGTATTAAATCCATATTTAAGTTGATATAAGCTTAATTACTTTTAAATTAAGAACTTCCATATTGTAAAGAAACAAAATATAATCAATTTATAAATGCGAATTAGACTTAAATCAATAATTTTTAGCTTGATTTCAGCTTGAAATCTTCGAATTTATTACTTAAGACTTGTATACGAATAAGTTGTCTTTAGCCTGTCGCTTTTCTCTCAGTGCAGGTTCCGTGCGGGAGGCACTTTTCTGGCGCACTTTTTGTTTACGTGCGTCGAGCAGTAATCAACGACAACGAGAATAAGTAGAGAATCGGAATGCGAATGTAAACGTGACGGAGAGAGTGAGGGAGAGAGACAGCAAGAGAGGGAGAGAGAGAGAGCGTAAAATAATTAGCTAAATGAATTAATTTTATAGCTGCCGCCTCGAAGTATGCTTTAATTGCAAGTTAACTTGATTATTTATGCATAATCCAAATGGAATTAAATCTAAACACATTTTCTGTCTCCACACTGATTTACCTTTAATTAACTACCATTAAAAGAAATATATCTATCGCATACAGTGAAGGCCTGAATATTGGAACAGTTCAGAAATTACAATTTACATTGAGAAACTCTCGAGAAACTTTGTTTTTCAATATATCAAAGTTCTGTTAATCTCTAATATATCTTTATAAATCTTTTATATAAATTTAATGCTTAACAATAATAAACATTCAAAATTCGTACATCTTTAAGGCGTAAGATTCACAAATGGTAATCAGCTGCTGCAGCTGCTTGTGTTCCCATTAGCGGGCGGCCACTGTACTGCTTTACATATGCCGCTCGAGAGTATGCAACGCTTTGCGTAACCGTATTCATGTGCAGCCCGAAAGCATGCAATGATTTTTGATCAGCTCTTTGTATTCGCAGCGGCGAGCAGGAAGGACTCTCATGCTTAGCCATTGTTTGAGCCAAAGCCAAAACGAAAGCCAAACAAGCGTCAGCTGCTGGCCATTAAAATTTTAATTTTGTGCACCATTTGGCGCGCTGCCATCTTGGCATCTGGCAATCCCCAACGAGTCCGTCCGTCGTGGCCCAGGCAAAGCCCTTGGCTTGAGCGATTATGTTGATGTTGATGACGATGAAACGAACGCAGGTGGGCGGCAGAGGCAGCGGCAGCGGCAGCTTACCTGCAGTTGCCTGCCGTCGATAATACGCTCAATTCAATTTGCATATTCAGTTGTCCAATGAAGCGAAGAACAGCAGCAGCAGCACACGGAGAGGATCTCCACAAACAAATGCTTTTTTGCCAGCCTCTTTGGCCACTTGCAACAACTGGCAGCAACCGGCTCCCGAATGTGCCGCTGACAGCACGGGGCACGCGTGAGCTGCAACGAGCTGTGGCAAAGGGCAACAGCAACTGCACCTGCTGCTGCTGCTGCTGCTGCTGCTGCTCCTCACCTGCTGTTAGTCCATTACGCTAGCAATTTAACTTGCGCCACGTAAACATGATTATCATCTTGAGTGCAACGTGTGGATTCGTTTGGAGGAAGGAGGCGACACGCCCCCCAACTGCAGTATGCGTGTGCGTGCAATTGAAGTCAACCTTGGGCAGGCGGGGTTTGGCACTGGCAACTGCTTAAGCTGAAGCTATTAGAGCTCGCTTTGTTGTTGCACTCGAAGAAAAACCCGAGCAATTAGAACTGGACTCAAGGAAAAACGCTGGGAAAACCTAATAAAGGTTTTCCTTGGTTCGTCTGACGGTTCAAAGCAAAGCAAGCTTAAGTTTCGGTCCTTAAACTGGCTTTTCACATTTAATAATCCAGTTTGGGATTCGAACTTGAAATCTCTCGTAGACTAATGTAGACTAAGAATAAAACCTTTCTTTAGTTATTCCTAATTCAACAAGTTCGCTCTAAAGCTCAAAATGCAGCCAAAATTTCAATTATTTAAAATTCTTCTTTCAAGCACGTTTTTAAGCTCCAAATTTCCAACAATTAGACTTACTTTCTCAATCGAAGGACTTATTTTTACGCTTATTTCAAGTATTTTTTACTTCATTCAGATAATTTCGCTGCTTTTCTTCTAACATTAAAGCTTCATTTAGAAATCAAGTAACTCTTAATTTCAGATTTTGCAAGCGCGAAAAGTAGTAAGATTATAAAAATTAAATGATTTGAGTTTAGAATTTTGAACGCCGTTTTTCATGGAGTTCCGGATTCAAAAAGGTTCGTTTCAAAATCATTTTCAAGCCTTGATCAAAATTATGTTAAAATCTGAATTTCTTAAAATTATTCTCTCATGAACTTTTTTTTAAGTTCCAAATTTCCAACTACTTGACTTCGTTTTAGTGCTCAATCCAAGCCTTACTTCGAACCTTTATAAAAACTTAGTCAAAATTCGGAATTTTTTAAAATTATTATTTCAACAAGTTTAGTTTAAGCTCAAATTTCCAAATACTTGACTTTGTTTTAGAGCACAATCTAAGCAATTATTTAAAAGCTTATTTAAAGTATGAATAATCTTGAAATAACTATTTTCTACTCCATTCAGATAATTTATCTTCTCTTCTTGTAACAATTAACCTTCATTTAAAAACCTTCACGAAATTTAGTAAAAATTGTCAAAATTCAAAATTATAAGTTTAGAGCTTTTCGCCCAGTGCATTGTTGATGTTGCTCAGTTCCTGCCTGGCTGAGCTGTTTAACAGCTTGCAATCTGCTTAAAACTGCAATTAATTTAAAGGTTTTTTTGTTGCTGTTGTTGTTGTTGTTGTTATTATTGTTGAAGCCAACCAAAACCCAAAGCAATCTCGGCTCGAATCTGAGTGCATTTAAGCGCCCAGCTTTGACGTGCCCGCCTCTAATTGAGCTTGTCAAAATCAGCTATAGTTGGGCTAAAAGGCGAACCAAGACACACACACATTCACCCAGTTGGTAGCTGTTTAAGCAGCTGCACAAGTGCCGTCGTCCCCCCCCTGCTGGGTTCCCCCCGCGTTGCCCGAGGCAGTGTCACGTACAGCGCCGACCACCAAAAAATTTCGTGTCTGCAAAGGTTGAGTGCAACAGGGAAGCAGATGCCGGCGCCCAAAAAAATGACAGCAACCGAATTACAACAGAAGTTTGATTAATTTCTGGGCGTGTACTTTGCTTAAATTTGTGGGCGTGGCGTTAAGTGAAGCAACACCATTTTAATATATACATAAAATGGCATAAGCGAGCCGGGCCAAAAAATATGCGACTGTACGGGGTATATGAGCTGGAAACTCAAGAGATGAAGTATTGTAAAATATGACAGACCAAATCATGTATTTAAATGAAAGTTACTTGAAATTACAGGGTATCTACTATGCGTAGTTCAAGCTTATTGAGAGCTCTAGCTTAAGTTTATATTGCAGTTGTGCAAAGAGACGTAGAATTGTAGGAGTCCGATTCCGGAGGAGATTGCGAACGTCTCTTCCAATCGATCTCTCAGAACGGGTTAAAAAATTAACCTAACTTTGTTAATTTTTATGTTAGATCAGAATAAATTGAATATTCATATAAATTTATTTAAAGTTGTGCCCATAATAACATGAAAATAGAAAAAAAAGCAAACAATATATAAAATATAAAATTATGGAAGCCGGAGAAAGCAATTAATTATTTATAGGGTATATATAGGAAAGTAGGGACTCGATAGTCTTCTATACAATTTAGCTATGCTCTTCAATATGTCTCTGATTAATTGTTGTATATAGACTTACATAAACTTCATCTTGTAGCCCCAAAAATTCCAACACGATCTGATAATAAACACAAAAGTTCTATCAAAATGAAGTTTTCCAAAAGTATTGCTTAGGAATGAAGAAGCACAGCTTCCGCTTTGGCTAGTGTGTGTGTAACTCCAGCTCGCAGCTAGCTACAGGGTATCTGCCAGTCGAGCACTTGCTCGCACACTTGCCCCTTTCTTTTTTTTTGGCATTGCAAAGTAAATATCAAATACGAACGCAGCCAACATTGCGGCCAGGTCGGACAGACACAGCTACAAATGCACACATACATATATTAAGATAGCAGCACACACACCCACACACACACACACACACACTCACTCACACACACATATAGACGAGCACACGTACAGATAGACAGATGAACTCGTACTCAAATAGAGGAGCTCACAAAGTAGCGTTGACAAACCCATTATCAGAAAAACAAACCGGAGATTAACTTGGCAAAATG